AGACCGCGGGCTGCTGAATGGTCTTATTATTCCCACATAAGGTACGTGCTCAAACTCGTCCCTGACGGCTTACAGTTTCTCTTGGGATAATCGACTTGGTTTAGCGAACACTGATGGGCAGGTGGTCACTGTGTTGTATAAGACGTTGAAGGTATCACAAGACATTACGTGTTTTGGCTCGAAGACCTCCGGAAATGGCTGCATAAAGGGCACGTAAGGACTGGAAGTGCCCGCCATAAATATTGCCGGGCCGAGATAGGGCACCAGTGTGACAATACTGGAGACGGAGCGTCTTTTGACAGAGTCAATAAACTTATGCTTGACGGCATCTGCCAGCAGCTGGTAGCTCTGTGGGAGATCTACACCGATAACGCCGGCGGCCTCATGAGCCACGAAGAAAACCTGGAGGACAGAAAGCCGAAGTCCAGAGTTGAAGTGAGGGATCTCAGGCCATAGGTTATCATGGGTGAACTGTTGGCTACACGCTGTAGAGGCGTGGGCTGCGGGCGCTGGTCAGTAGTAGATCTGATGATGCTAGCTTCTTCTCCGGTCTCAGCCTTTGAGCGTATCTCGGGACGTCGATCTGTGACACGGGAGAGGCGGCAAGAAAGTGTTAAGCCTGCGACAGTGATCGCCATCACGTGCCGGCTGAAGCAGTCCCTGCCAGTTTGCTCTCAAAGGCGCAGGATGGAGTGCGTCTTTTGGTGCTGGCACCATAATGTCCGCGATACCACCTTAACCCGGACTGATAGAAGAGGGACTTGGAACGCCTGCTTTTAGAAGTGGGAGTAGATCCTCTGCGCAGGCGGTTATGTGACTGTGTGCAGAGCTATTTATTCGTACTTCTCGCTTAACAGTGGAAACTCTCCGTGCAATTTAGTGAGGCGAACAGCAGCATCAAAACTCGGTGGCCTGGTTGCTGGTTGAGACAGAAGTCTTCATGTGAGCTGATGCTAGTAAACATTGCAGCTGAAATACCCACGCTGAGCTGCGTTAGCTGCTTCCACCGGCTCCATCAGGGGGGAGTTACGAAACGGTGCTTGGATTCCTCCGACCGTCTGCAGTAATCTCTGCAACCGCAGTTACTGGAGAAGTGCGTCACCAGTCTTGGAGTCTGAAACCAACTGCTTCTTTTGATAAAGCACTTGAGTGGCCTAAAGGTCACCGTATTGCACATGCCCAAACGGTTCTCTCACCTTCTGCTGATCAGTAAGAGTGGCGCGTTTGATGAGGAGGGCATCGGGAAGATCGTATCTAATTGGTGCTGGGTCCTCGAAGACCACTGACACATTTTCGACTAACTTTTCGGGTAAAGTCAGGATAACTAAGTTCAACTTAGTTTCCTGCAAATGTACACGCATCGAGAGAAACTGAGCTTCCGCGTAGGCGAGCCACGCTAGTAGTCCACAGGACTAGAAGGTGAGAAGCTGAAGAATAACGCAGTGAAGTCGTTATCCTCACACACGGATGGAAGATACAACGGGGGACTATTATAAAAACAGCAGTTACGGTATGAATAACTGACAGGTAAGAGCGAACACAAAAACGAAATCGAAACCCTGTTGTCAGAAATAAATACAGAACAAACTGATCACTGAGAAACGAATAAATAAAGGGCTAGACGCAGCAAGAGGATGGTACCTAGGCTCACCAGTCATAAGAGGCTGAATACGTTATTACTGCTTAACATCTAACCAGTCTCATCAAACCCGATGTGCTCTAGTACCGGCTTAATCGGTACCTTACCCAAAGTGTAAGTACTGATAATGAAACAAAAACCAAAAGGCCGAGTTATTGAGAAAGATGACGTAAAGGGAAATATTTTCAAACGGGATAAATGTGGAGGTGATTTTTAGGGAAAAAATTTGTTCATCTTATCGGGATAATATAGGTGAGCCAGGGGCTCTGCGAAACTGCGTGTTAGTCACCACTAAGGGAGAGCGAGATGGCATCGAAACCTGCTAGGACGCGCACTCGTTAAAACAAAGCTTAAAATATCCCAGGCATTTGCAGGTGAGCTGGAATTTTTTTCGTCACTAGTTAGCTGATTCGAGGTAATGTTTCCGTTTGGGTCTGGTTCAATTTTGATGCCAGGAAGATGCACTGCATCGGTAGACCTACCAAATGCGAATTCACCAAAGACCTAGAACCATAACGCAAGACCTAGATGTGGTCGCAACGACATCATTTAATTTATACAAACTGGTAGGAAGATACTGGATTCATTTGATCATATGACAGCAAGCTTTTGATAACAGACTGCCATTAAATACAGAGATTATTTTTCTGTAATGAACTAGCTGAAATCACATACTTGGTATGTATTTCAAGCCACTGAATCTTCAAAAACGTTAATTCAGGTGTGGTACAATTTGATTACAATACCATGCAAATGTACCCAAAATATCTACTCTTGGAAATTGCACTTATTGTATGTTGTTTTATTTCTTTCCTTTCATGGTCAGTATTGTATATGATATGTTTGCTGTGTTAGCGTGCGTTTGGTTTACAAGTGGCTTATCACAGGTTTCATGTGAGAAACTACCTGTTATTGTATGGCATGGCATGGGTTAGTTGAGTTTAAGAAAATAAAAGGATACTTGTAGGTGACCATGGGACTGGGATTGGAATTCATAAACTAGCTCAAGTGATAGAAAAGGAATTACCTGGGACTTACGTTAAGTGCATTACAACAAGCGACCTAATTATTGAGGTATGTAAAACTGATTTCACAGCGATGTATTGTTGCGCTTGATTTGTCATGATGCACTGCATTACAGCCATTATACTTACATGCATATTATTATATTGTTGTTATATATATATATATATATATATATATATATATATATATATAATTATTGTACTATATGATGCATTATGGATATATTTTTATTACAACACGTACTCAATCAACAATACCGTCAAGTCATGAAAGAAATTCCACTTTCATGCAACATTTATTTGAAACATGTGTTAGAGTAATCACTGTTGATTTCTCGCTATATTGTCAGGATGATCATAAATTGGTTAGTACTAATTGTCGCTCGCCAAATAAAAGGTAAATTTCTTTAAGGAGAGCAACTTAGTGATGTTTTCGAAAACCAAAGAAGATCATTCATAATGCAAGCAAATCGAATGGTGACTATGTCACATTTCAAAATATACCTGTTTTTCATACCAAGAACCAAAACACACCAAAATATACGGACCAATAACATAAGGAGGAGTAGAAATGGATGTCATAACTGGGAGATAATGACATCCTTAATACACTGGTTCTGAAAAAAAGGACTGGTAGTGTTATGAACAGCTTATTATACACCAAGTTTGAAATACTGAATAAATGTATCTCGGTCGGCGTGTAAATTTTCTGAAAAAACTGATGGTTTCTTGAGATGAGCTCTATGGGTTTGTTAACAAGCGCTACGCTTATGGAGCCCAATACTACGGAGCTATTTTTAACTGACAAACTGCGAGCTATATTCCTGTGCGTGTTCATCAAATGGTTCAGTAATTTATTCGCAATATCTAGGACTTTCCCTACAAACTTGACTGCAGGGGAAGCAGGAGCTGCTCTGGTTATAAATATCCTACCCTTTTTGCACTGAATGCGCTTGCGGATATAATTAAATTTGTGTGCGGCAGACTATTGACTGTGATATTGCTCAATAGTTGTTAAGTCTTGGAAATATGGTGAGGTCAAGTCATAACCCTGTGAGATAATGAAGATGACTTTTTTCGGTATACCAAGAAGATTATAATTAAGGAATATGGCAAGTGACTGACTTCTATCGAAAGGATTAAGTGAAATTCGTTCTCTTACCATTATTCTGATTGCTAAGTTTGTGAGCCAATCAAACTGATATTGGAAAGCAGTTTCGTTCTGCGTACCTGCATATCTCCAAGTTTTGTAGAATAGATCCTTTGGTCTTCACGACCTGCCTTTTTTCACTCCTGTTCAAAACTAACTCGTCTTCACTCTGCAGTCAAGGCTGGGAAATTACTTCAGATGAAAATATCAGCAGGAGTGATCTGTTTCTTGGCTTATAGCGTGATCCATTGCTGTTTGATAGCTAAGTCTGAAGTGGGTTTGCAGTCACACTATGGTCATCATCGACCAAGTTAATATGTGACTCAGAGCTGTAGTAAGGAGTCAAGAAGAGGAAATATGTAGTCATGGGTGCATTCAGGAAGATAAGTGTTTCAGACATCGTAGTAAAAACCAATCCACTATTAACAGATAAAACGTGCTGCAAAACCGAAGTTCCATAGCGCAAAACAATACCACGGAATATGTCTGAAAAGTGCGTTCTAATATTATTGGTCCAAGATAACTTGATCTCCCTCAGTCAGATAATTTCTAGCTTCTGGAAACTTTACGTCTGTTAAAAGGCTAGCTTCAAAAATCTTCGGCAAATTTATATTCAACACTTCCGAAAATTTGTACAGCACACTTTTTCAGTCACATACGAAGTACAGGATCTTCGTAGTTATGCTGCACTTAAATAAGGTCATGAAACAATCAGGAGCAATACAGAGAGATAAAATGGTGCAAAATCTGGAATTAAGGTGCCTCAGTGCAAGTTACCGCACTTTATAGGAGTATACAGTGAAGAACTGAATCGAAAAATAATCACATTGAAGTGAACCCTATTGTTTTATATGGGGAAGAATGAGACGGTAAAGTTTAGTGAAGTATTCAAAACGAAGATGATAAATAGCACATAAATTTGCGTTACTGTAGCGGGATTTTTCCACGTCTTTGACCAATGATTTGTAGCACCTCTCTGTCTCCAGCTAGGCAGTCTACATAACCTTCAAAAGCTGTAAACTACAGCCAAATACTTCATTGACTAGCCTCTTGCTTTGGTCTAGCAATCCTTAGTCTTCCTCCAACTTAATCCCACTTCAGTTAGGATTTCTTTTTGATGTAGGTAATAGTTTCACACTTCCAAACCAACTTAGTGAAGATTAATAACCTTGTTATTTGACCTGACTTTCTTGCGTAGGACTGAACGCTGACTCCCAATATTGCTGGTTCGAAAATTACAAAGAATACGGTAATATACAAAATAATAAGGTTTTACGGCATTCTGTGCAATTGAAGAAATGAAAAATTGCAATTTCTTAACCTTGATTATCTTACAGTTCTGAGAAATATCAGTGTGTTAAAATACCTATTCGACATATCTTAACACCCATTTTGCTAGTTAATTACCGTAATCAAGTGACTATGTCCAGTGTATATCAACAAAACTGGGATTACCGTTTTGTTGATGCCAAATAAGAATGATTAAGTCCGTAGTCACAGCACTTGAGATCTCCAATAGCCTACTAGTATACTTTCTGAATAAACTCATTGATAACCTATTTCCTATGGTGTGATTTACTGTAACTTCATAGTGCTTGAAAAATAAAACACTGATATACATGGTTTTGCAACAAGGTACAGCTTTCTCTGGCATACAGGATTCATCGTTTGCAAAAATCCTTTCTCGTGATACTCGCTGATACCTGGTGAACTAGTTTACAAGACTGCAATCCAACAAGGATAGTTAAAGGTAAACACCTACATATCTGTGATGTCACTTATTTGAGTTGGTAACACTGGATAGCATTTCTAGTAGTGAAAATCACACAACTGTTTGGTTTCATCAGACTTGAATTTTAGGTTCCCAGTAGTTTGTGTAATGTAAATATTTCCTAACAGAAGAGCGAAAACCTTCTGAATAGATTACTTGCTCGTGATATTAGGAAAACATTTTTCGAAATAGCAGTTAGAATTTAAAAATTGCAAAGTCCCAAAAGGAAGTTGGTATATTATTCTGTATTGAGATATTCATTTTGGAAAGCGGTGAAAACTGTGATTATATCTCAGCAGTAGAACTAGCATCAATAGTTCAGTAAAACAAACTTAACTTCTGGTATACATATCAAGTAGACTATCATCATATGTAGGAAAATTCATTCAAAATGAAAATGAAATGGATACCATTCTTCCGAATTTCTATGATTTCACACATTTTGTTATCTGGGTTAATCCAACCTCGTATCTAAGCCGAGTGGTCGATCTTATCAACAACGTCATTGTTTATTGTGGAACCAGTCCTAAAGCAAGAGTTTACTTCTTGAATGTTAGGAACGTACCCTGAATATCATCAATTTATCACTCAGAGTCCGGGAGACTGTATTTTTCAGTATCCAGACCTAGGAAATCGATGATAGCTAGGCGGTCTCCTGTCATATTGGATTCTGTCTGACGGATAAAGAGAGAAAGACCGCTATAAGCTTGTTTATGACATGTTTACTCAACAAAAAATGTTGAGTACAAGTGCATCTTTTGATCCAACTGAAACCTCCAACATCTAGGGGCATTGTTTCAGGTTGCGTATATTCACCGCTCCTGTCACATCAGACTAGGGATGGTGCCAGGTAAGGAGTCCTGTCATACTGGAATAACAATTTGACCGCTTCCTCTATAAGATTAGCCCTAGCCTACTCATCTTTGAGTGGAGCTTCACACAGTCTTCTTGCTTATTGAGGTGGAAATATAAGGGTGCTTGATTTAGTGAATGCTCACAGGCCCAATATGTGCAGCACGGGCAGCAGTCATCTACTAAGTCTTCTGAGTGGTAACTGCGGCTAATGTGGCAGTGACGTGATTTATTTATGATTATGAGCAATAATTTGTGCTCGAAACGTCATCAAGTAAATAATACTAGATCACTGTGTGTTATAAATCAAATAAACAAATCTAATATGGAATTTATTTATGTTCACCGTTAAGTTGACGTCAGTTGCCACCACGTAAAACGATGTTTCTATTTGTCTGAGATCCGTGCTGGCTGAAAATATGTAGTTGTCGGAGCACAATTTAATGAGATGATTGTCCCTATCGATTAACACATCTTGGACCTAGTGAGTACTAGCTGCTTACCGTTTTGTTGGACTTAGTCTACCTACTTGTACATAGACGATACGTCTGACCACCTAGCTCTTAATAGGTGACTAGAATAACTACGGTGGAACTCATCTTTCACTTCATCCTAAGTTCACGGCTGCAAAAACAGAGATTACAAAAGACAGGTTTATCACTATTCATCTCAGTCCTTATTGTGATATTCGACTGAACAGTGCTCAGGTATTTTTAAACTAGAATTCATTGCACATCGTGCCTTAAGACTGTAACCATATCTGTAAAACCGACAGAAGTAACTTGGTTTTCTTCAGATATTCTAAGAGAAAATTGCAGATCCACTTCATCGCCAGTTCTAATGAAGTAAATAACCACATTTGGGTAATATGTCCATGCCTCATAATCACAGTATACTTTTTTAATATGAAGTCCCAGAGTTTCGGTTGGGGATGATTGTTGTCCGAACTGCCGAAGGGTATGGACATTGATAGCTTTAGTATGTGGCTTCTGGAGTGGTTTCAACTGATCAAAGATGATTTTCCTTACATTCTCATTAAAAAATTAATTGATACAGCCAGTGTCACGTTCACTAAGGCAAAATTTCTACTGTCCTAAGATATCTGCACTGAAAACTAATAAGAGGTTCACTGCATTTGGTGATTGTTGTGTTGTCGAACTAGTGCTTCACTTGGTTGTTACGAACGAATTCAGAATGGTCATTATCTGAAAAAGGTGACTGTTTTTCCGCTAGTATCCATAAGGTTACTTGTTTTATAAGTAAATGCCAATGTAATTATAACAAACATCACAATCTTAGTCATAACTTTCTTTCGAATCGAATTAGTTGGTGGATATCTTTTTTGGGGGTTTTACGAAATATTTTAATTATGTACAGTTTATCTTTTGCTAGCCACACTAAAACAAGCGGGAGAAATATGTTGAAACTACTAGTTTTACTAACTCATTACAGTTTTGGGATTTTCATATGTAACTATTTTATTTTATGTTGATATGAAGAATTCTGTTTTATCAATGAGAAAGTTATGACAAGCTTCGGTGAGAAAATATTTCCATTGAAAAACTATCAGAATGATGCAAAATCAAGATTACTTTGTTGAGATTACACAGCAGCTGCCCTTACTATCCCAGCTGTCACTCTTAATGTGATGCTGAACCGAGAACAGACAGGATGCATAGCAGCGTTTCCTAATGGATAAAAATAATACTGGAGCTAAGTGTGAAAGTAGATCAGTAGAATCACAAAGTGTGATAAGCTTTCACCTCCAAAACGTAGTATATTGCCGAGAAACATGACTGATGATATCACTATGATGAAAAGTCTATTTTTCAAAACATCAGTGACCATTCTAATCAGATGGCCCTGAAGTGTTCTCATAACTATTAATCAGCATGGGCAGAAATCCTGGACCCTTCCTCAGGACATACACCCGACACAAAGCTGACATGTGCCATATTTCTTAACCTGATGGTGGGATTCGACTTTGTTGACCATGAGGTGTTGCGGCAGTGTCTGACTGTAAAAGGAGTACTGAGCGTGTATATAACGCTAACCAAGCCTCTCTACTTGAACTTGTACAGCCATGTAAGGGGTTATGGAGAGTTATCATCTGAATCGACGGCGACTTGTGATGTCCACCAGGGGGACCTACTGTCACTCTTCATGTTCGACTTCGTTTTAAATGTATTAATGGACATAACCTTAGGTACGCCTGACTTCACAAGGCTTGATCTGCTCTGTAGAGTATGTGTGGCTCAGATGAAGTATGCAGACGACATTTTTCTGATAGGTAAAGACGCTGACAAAGTGCAGGGCTTTCTGAATGCGTTGAGTAGAAGTTTGAGATGTTTGGTATGCGTTTCTCACCTGTCGAATGGAAGATGATCCTCTAGGACTGGTCTGCGACTATTTCCATTTTAAGGATAGGGGTGAAATGGTGGAATGTGTCGAGCACTTTACCTACTTGGGGAGTTGTATTAGCCCGAACGAGGTGGTCGCTGACGAAGTCTCAGCTAGGATAATGAAACTTCGTTTAGTATTTGCCAACTTGCGTCAGATGACTGAAGTCGTCGCAAGTCAGTTGATGAGGTGATGAACCTTAAATTAAAGAACATAGTGTGCAAAAATTTATTACGAATATATATTTATGATGAACGTTATTATTTACTGTTCGATGTTCTAAGCACAGTTTATTACTTATCAAATGCAGGTAATCATAGAAATGTTTGGTTTAGTTTTATACCTTTACTGTTGGCCATTCTTATTATCAGTGGTAAAGTTTTATATACAATCGGAATCCGTTTTGGGTCGTAGTAATTTCATGTGTCAGGCGTCTATTCGATAAAAAGAGCTTCACTCATCAGTCTTTCCACTCATCCAAGTTTTCAAAAGTTGTTACGCTGTAATGTCCTATAGCAGGATTGTGAGTGGCAGCACATATGATTGTGGGTGCTCTTCATTCCCAGATTTCTTATCTTGTTAGGGTCTACGATTCTATATTTGGTTAGTTTTTTTCGGGCTAACCTAATGTACTCTGTTTGGGTGGTTTAACCTGTATGAAACCTCCATAAAGTAGTTGAGAAGCTTATCACTACTTCTTGAAAACAGTGAAAATAATGCCTAACACTCAGGGAGCATAAATCAGGGGGTCAATTTGCTGTGCGGTACAAGCCACAAAAGAATCATCTGATTGGAAATTACGAGCTTTTGACGCTGTGTCGTTAAGCATGAAGACAAAGGTTTTGTGATGATTACTATCAATTGCATTCAAATACTTACTGCTCTTTTAGATTCAATAGCTTGATTTAAAAGAGTCTAGATCGTAAAGCGCTGATTATAAGCTTTTGCGAAGTGCTTGTGAGCTGGTACACAAAGAATATCAATGATAGGTTACTAGTAGTATATGTTCCAAACAATCTTCATAGTTTACATACCAATATATTGGGGCTTTCGCGGGAAAGTATAGCATTCAAATTAATCTGCTTGTAGACAATAAATATGGTTAGCAAAAAAGTAAACCATCATCTTTAAATATGTGGCTGGCTCATCATTCAGAAACTTGTGGATCGAAACTTTACCCTTATGACAAGGTTTTAGGGCTATGGCACATTGATATCCTGATATCCTTATTTCATAAAAGTAAGCTCCATTCATTGCTGGTCATATCATCAGGGGTTGATAAATCAAAGTGGATTGTCAATCTGTCAACTAGAGTCCTAAGCTCAGCAAAATTAAGGTGCTAGAGAAATGCCTTAACTTCAATGGAGTGGTTAATAAAATGAAACAAGATGTAATTCCCAAAACAGAAATAGCGTTAAGTTTAATAGATAAGACAGTTGCAGATGAAATATGAACACAAGATGCATTAATACTAAGATGACAGAAGACTGATTCATTTCCTAGTTCAAAAAGAAGTATATGGCTACTGAGTTACATTGTTGTCCTTATGGTGAACATTTACTTTTCTCAAGTTTGAAAAACCGCACAATCAGACTATGGAAGGATAATTGGTGATCTATTGAGTTATTGAAATGCTTCATTTTTGTTTTTTTTTCCTGAAAGCTTATTTGTTTTATATAGACAAAAATGTCAGAATCAGTGACAAATTCCGTCTAAGATGAATTTTTTATTTTAAAGCGAAATAACAGTTTGTCACAAATGAATTTGTAATATCTGCCTTCCCATTCAATCATAATGTTTACGCAGTATGTTGAATTGTGTTTCCATAAATTGTTAAGATTTTCTTTCGAAAAATGTCAGAGATTTTACATCGAGCCACTTAGAGTAAAGTAAATGGTCATATAGTATTAGGATTTGGTGTAATTCGCTAAAGAGGAAAAAATTTATCCACACTCGGACAAAAACTGAAGCATATTTCTAAATACCGGAAACTATATTAGATATTTTTGAAAGTTACATCGTGTTTGAAATAAAATAATTCCAAGGTTTTGCACGGAAGTCTGGTCTTATCTACTTCAAGAAAATCGTAGTTCCTATATATACACACTTATATTCTTAGTAATGTAATAGCTGGTTGCATAAAATTCACCAATGAAAGTGGCTTGAAAATAATCTTTCTTCTATAGCAATTAGGTAGGCGATAACTAGTGTGCATACTCGTTATATCGTTTGATTCTAAATCTGCATACTAATGAATGTCAGCAAAAAAAGGAGGAAGTACAAAGCCTGTTTTTTCTTTAATTTGAGAGTACTAGAAACTTTACATTGATAAGTAATCAATACAGATTTTAAAACAATATTACACCTTTTTAGGCATATTTATAATAAAGACTACTACTTTTTAGTTTATTCACATTAACGTTAAGTACATGTTAAATCCAATCTCTCTCTCTCCTTAGCTGCATATCCTTGTATCTCACTGTTTGAGTCTTTCGATTAAGATAATAGCCCAAAATTTGTCGCTGTAAGCATTGAAGCACTAAAGCTGCTAGGTATTTTAGCCATCTGTGATGCAAGCGCTAACAGTTATCTTTATGATTTTCTGTTTTTGACATTTCTGGACCATATTCATCAATCTCTATTGGAATATGGGTTCCTTGTATGGATTTTGTTATACGGTGGGGAGGAGGTACATAGCGTTAAAGGCTCTTAAAGAAGTTGGAATTCATTACCTGAAGTTAACTTATAGAAGTCGATAAGCAAGTAGCATGAAAAGTGAAATTCAAAGCAAAAATTTCAGACCTTTCACTCAAGAAGCTCTCGTACCGAAATATATCGATCGGTTCAGTACAGTTAGTCAAGAATAGGATTTTAAAAACATTTGTAATCAATCTTAAATATATTATTGGATTTATTCCACTTTTTCTGAACAAATTTAGCAAAGTAAACAAGGATCACCACTATACTGAAGTCTAACTCAATAATATAGTCTTAAGTGCTTTTGTGCGACAACTTTATGTACACGTCACTATATTGTTTGTAGTAGCAATCACTACTTGTGTATATTTCATTTATCACAAAATACATCAAACGATTTTTAACAATGTTGCGTTTTCCAAATGACTCTCTCTTCCAATTATTTGGGAGTATTATGAGCGTTCTCAATTGTTTTTAGGATATCAGGGATACGTATTTTATGCCGATTAACGACCAGTTGGAATACGTCTGTAATATGTTACGTGAAGACAAAAATTTTTCAAATGGCTTACATATGATTGGTATATCACAAGGTGGATTGTTTGTTCGGACTTTAGTTCAGAAATGTAATCTTACAAATATTGGTACAGTTGTTTCCATTGGAGGTCCTCAGCAAGGAGTATTCGGCATACCAAAATGTACAGGTGATGACTTCATTCACTTTTGCCTGTTGATGAGTGAACTACTATCTTATGGAGCATATAACGAATTTGTTCAGAGTCAGTAAGAGCCATTAAAATTATGACTAACCTTTTTGATTATTTTATTCGTTTTCATGTATTAGTGTTTTGCTAGATGTTTGAAAAAGTCTTCTGAAAGACCTATGTACGTTTTATGGTTTGATACCGCTTACCTCCAAGCTATATCTGCAATCTAGAGTGATTTCATAAGACTTATTTTGCCAGTTAACCAACATTTTTTGAAAAACGTGGCCTGTTTTCTGAACTACTATTTAAAATTTCCAAGTGAGGATGATCCAAACAACCCAAATTTTATAATATTTGCTACACCTATACTACTTTTCTTGATGGATTGTTCGCCTGGCATTATTAATCGTTTATGTAGCGAACCGGTCAGAAATCATATGTGATAGAAAAGATTGTGAAAGTATTATTATCCCATATGAAAACCTAAAACTTGGATATGGTTACTTACTGCAGTGTTCAGGCTCGCTTTTCGATGTAAGCACAGCGCTTTTATGCCGAAAACATTCATTTCAGACTTCATCACATGAAGAAGCGTACAGCAAGTGCACCATATTACTGAAGTTTATTTCTTCGGTGAGATATCGGCTGAGTTAATTTTCATAGTTATTATCAACTCGGTAATTAAAAGACAGTAGAACTTGGACACTCTGGTAGAGCATATTTCCATTATCCTTTTCGATGTTTCTCTGTTATACGTATAAAAAAAGCATCATAATTAATTCCATTTTAGTCTTCTTATTGGACATATCAGACAGTGAAACAGTATTATTTACTGGGTCTATAATGAACTACAGTGAAATAGAAGTTTTTTCTGATATGTCAATGTTCAACCTTTATGTTTAGTCCCTTAGAATGACCTATGATTCGCCAAAGATATGTCACTTAGAGTTTTGAGATCAAATATGAGAACATATAGCAGACGAGGAAACCTCTTCAGATGAAGAATTTTGCTACAGGTTTGATGCCTTTCGATACCTGGTTTCATATTCTTAAGCGAAACAGATGAATACGCTGTTCAACTCTTTTCAAGAGGGGCTTCAACCTTGTTAGACTCATATTCAGTAAATTATGATACGGTTGCTGAAAGATAAGGGATTGTTTCTGAGTTTCAGCCAGCTGTGACAGAATACGTACTCGAGTCATTACCGTATTAGCAATCATTCATTTCTATACGATTATTGAACAACAGATGAAAACAAACAGCTGATGAAGACTTCACTTGTTAGACTGTCGAAACCCATGAATGAGTATTCCTGTCCTAAGTAGGAAGTAAATTGTCTGACATTATCTATATAAAAACAGCAAGAAAGAAAGCAATTAGTTCTATTTCTATAGCATTGTGCCAAAATGAAGAGTATCTAAAACATGTGATGTATTATCACTGTATATTTTGAACAGTCTGGTCACATGTGAACTTGTCAAATTATGTGCACCAAATTTCAACAAAGGTCAATTAATTCAATAAGAAGCAGTAATAAGGACGATAGACAAAAAACAAAAGGCTGAATTGCATGACCCTTGGACTGGAATTGAAATCATTGCTACTGAGGTAGGCTCGAAATAAATAAAAATTATTTCTGCATGAAAAAGTGGGTTTAAACTTATGGACTGCTAGAGCTTTGACATATTTAGGCACTCTCCCTGACTATTGCATACAATACTTCAAAGGCTTGGAATAAATAAAGATGGAGGTTTATCACTTGCTCTTCTCAGATCATTTGAGTTCATTTGTTTTTGAAGCTAATTAGGTGATTGTTCAACCATCATTACTACATATCACATAAACTCCTCTCTATGTGTCTACATATATATGTCCACTGATAAACAAAGTGGGCTGTGATTCAATCAATTTTGTTGTAGCCTGGATTTTATTGTCCTGACAATAATAACCTTGCCTGTGTAGTGTGTTTTACAGATGGCTGATGAAAGCCCTTTTTCACTATAAAACTGTCAAACACTGCAAAAATGGTAACGAGATGCAGACATTTTTCTTGGGTACTAAACACTAGACTAGTGTAAACGCTGTATAACTTTTGCATCTGTTGAAAAATTCTAGCGGGTACCCATTGTGTCATCTGTGTAGAACCTATCCAGTGATCGATGATCAATTCGGAACTCTTTACGAACAACTAAGCTCAACAGTCCCAACACTGCAAGGCGAACAAAATTGACTGGGAGCTAAATTAATAGATATTGCTCACCAATTTCATGATCCTAGTCCAAAATAAAGAAGCATCTTAGTCCCCAAGCAGTTCAAAGCTCTGAAACAACTTAAAAATAATTCTGGCACTATTATGCTTAATTTTCTTAATAAGGGAATAACTGTGGTTGTCACGACCACGTTTTGTTAGACATTTAAGATTTCATCTACTCCTGGTGATGAAGATAAACTTATGGGAGACATTTCATCTGAAGGAGTATGTAAATAAGAACGAAGAGTCAACCCTAACTCAATATAAACTTTATCAACAAATTCACATAAATAATTCGATAGGTTCATGTGTAATCACACGTTAGAAATGCACTGGAAGTTTCAGATAATCTTCGTTTTGGCAAGATGCAGCAATCCCTTTTAATAGGTGAGCTCAACGTTACTTTTATCTAGCCATCTTTTAGTTTTAGGGGAAAAAGTACGCATGACTTTACTTGAGATAAAAAAAGAGCGATTATAGTTTTCTCTTGTCTGATATTAACAAATGGTAGTTTTTGGCTTTTGTAGCAAAAAGGGGATGATCCATCAGGTTATGTAACTTTTATGAATCTCAGATACATGCACTAATGATCGAATTGGAGATAGAAAGCATCTGATTATTTCGCGTATTTCATTCCTGTCACAGTTTGTTTCCTTCACCGTTCACTTTCTGTTGACTTTCGCTATTGATACCGTGATTTCGTTGTTTTTTCCTTGTTCTTCTCATCCTTTCTATCTTAAGTTAGTTTTCTGTACTATTATATGTAAATATATTTGCGAGTGATTTCACACCACATTTGACTGAATTTCGCTTTATTGCAATTTCTGTATGTTGGTTTGTTCTGTATACTAAGCAGTTTACATGAGAAAAACGATTCGAGTCCCCCGAACAGAATCCTTGATCTCCTGAAACCTTGCTCCAATCTACATATTAGGGCTTTCAATGTCCGTACCCTTCGTCAAATCCGACAACAAACCTCACCAACCAAAACCACAGTATGCCGGGCCATTGATGTGTTCTGTATTTGTGAAAAATGCATCCAAGACTCAACTTAACCACATCCGACCAGTTTAATGAGTCTGCAAAATCCATTCTTCTAGTTTCTGAAGATTCAACTGCTAGTAATCGTTGTCTAGCAGATGTAGGTGTAGCATAAAGTCCTACAAAAGAAAATGAACCACTTCACTGGATCTTAGGTGAGAGTCGTCTGTGAACTGTCTCATTGAGTAAGTATCGAAAATGATCGCTTAACTGGATGTTATATCTGTGTAATCTCTATTTACACACCCACTGGCTATGGTTGAATGCGGTGAAGATGAGTTCCGACAGAAAACTGTCCGGCCTCCTGATAAAACCCAAATGCATAGATGTAGTTGGCGTAACATGTGATTTAAAAACAAAAAAGGCTGGACTGAACTAGTTAGAAGAGGGTTTTTGTGACTCTTTCGGAGTTCCAGTCGGACGAATAGACAACTGCGACAGCTGTGCTCAGACAACCGACTATTCCTGATTACCAACACCTCCAAAAAAGAGATACGCACTGTCTCATATCATCCACAGAACTCAACTCAACACCGGACACGGATAAGCCGTGTTGTTATCAGTTATCACTCCAGGTGGTCAGTAGCATATTGTCACTCCTTCTAGAGCAAGTATTCGGATAGTGATTTGGCGTCGATTTGCTCACACGTGCGTGTATCTGCGCCTAAATGGACATCGAACACTTCAGCAACAGTTTCCTATCCTAAGTGCACCTCCACAATGAGAATACTGAGGTTGGTTTGAACGAGGAAATACCTATTCAATTATCGGAGCAGGACAACATCAATCATCCAGCAGTAGCCTGACGCCATCTCCGGTCTGCTGTAAAAAAATGTCTCAAACGCTGTAACAGGTTCTCAAAAAGAGGTTGGAAGGAGTCACTGGATCGGAGCTGTCTCAACTGATTTGATGGATGGATCTGAATATATTCCTACAGACTCCGAACACAATGAGGAGTACGAGTAACTCGAATGTAGCCGGACAAAGAGTCTGTGCAATGACCGTGAGTAGTGGGTGGTCACGAAGTCGAGTGAGATCGGAGAGGTAGTAGCGATAGATAACCGTAGACAGTTACTGACAGTTGCATATGAAAGAAGCTAATGTGGAGAGATAAATAGAATATGGTCGAAAAGTGTTGGTCTGTGACTAACAGTGAAGACGACTGGAATGATGGGTGGAAGAGAGTGGAGAGCATTTTGACTGGTTTCAGCAACTATTCCGTTGCGCTTCATCCAGTCGTATCCTGACTGGAACACTGAGATAGTTCTTGCAACACTTGAAGATGTTGAGGATGCTCTTAGTAGCCTGAAAGCAGGAATGGTATCAGGGTTAGACTGGTTAGTACTGGAGATATTTAAGGATGGTAGTTAAACTAATTAAAGTTCTGCCTGGTGCACAGGAATCAGATGTGACCCCAGGTGACTGAATTCAGTCCCCATCTTTAAGAAAGAAGGGAAATACTTCCAGGTAGCCAAAGGTTAGTCAGACTGGTTGAAACAGCTTCTAACATTTTGCAAGTTATAGTCATTAGAAACATAAGTGAAGCTTACGAGGGTTATACTCGAGAAAAGCAAGCAGATTTTGTACCCGTTAATGGATTTGTCGTCCAGAAATTCATCCTCCACAACGTTGCGGAACACTCTTACACCTATCGGCGTGCGATGCTAGCTGCATTTTTGAACGTGAACTCCTTTGTTTGGGAAATATTATAGCCATAACTCACAGTGTATTGTGTGTTGATTAAGAACATCACCCTGTTGAGGACTGTATATTTGAACACCCATGGGCCTATCAAAACTTATGGTGAGTTGTGTAAGTCATTCGGTGTCTGTCGAGGATGTCCTTTCCCTACATTTTTATCTTCCTTTGTCACGGACGTTCGCACGGAGGCCTCCCTCTCCTCTTCCCCCGACTGCATAGGGACTGAAATTGTTACTGCAGACTCCTTAGTGAACCCAGAGGACACGGATGACATAGTTCAGCGGGATGAAGAAACAAGATCAGAGTCTTTAGGACACATCGAGTGGCAATTTGAGAATGTTAGATGCGTTTTTAGCAGATCAACTGCAAATTATTTCTCTAGGATTCATTTGCATTGGCGCCCCACCTCACATTGGGCAGTGAAGTGGTTGGGCGCGTTGATCACTTCATTCAGATATCCGATTGCTGTTACCTTCGTAGCAAAGGTCGTGCTTCGAGATGCTACCACGTCATAAAGATAGGTGACAGATGCATAGTCTTAAGGAGCAGAAGAAAGTTAGTTGATGAGGTTGTCAACCTTAATCGGTTCAGCTGACTGGAATGTGTGCTACACATGCCTAGTCACCGCCTACCTCCTCACACAATGCCAGCTGAAGTAAGTTCAGGAAAGAAGAAGGTTAGTGGCCGCCAGACTGTTACATGACACGAGTGTATGAAACCTCCGATTGTTGGCCAAAGCTGCGTAAGAAAATGCAGACTTCTCTGTGGCGGTCGCCAAAGCAACTTAAACTGGCGTTTGAGTGATGTGGCTCAAAGTTGATGTTAGGGGTGTAGATGTGTCTCCACACTGTTTTATCTTAATCGTCATGCGAATTCCATTACTGTTTATCTCTTTCTACAACCTCCTACTACTTTGATTACTTTCTCTCTTATTTCCTACCTTCCTTCTCAATAACTTCTAGCTTGATATTATGATATGAGTAGTAGTGGCAACTTGAACCGTTACGCAATAACCTGGTGTCTTATAATCGCCACAGACCGAGTGAAGTAATTGATCGCTGGGTTTCTATGCTGAAAGAAATGTTCCACAAGGAAACATAAATTGTTTGATTGTCATCATATTTCAGCTATCTATTTGTAATAGACGTTTAACGACAGTCTACTCATAATTTCAGAATAAATAGTAGATCACTTTCGTACTATTATTTAATTAGTTGGTTCAAGCACAATACTGGCATGATCCTTTGAAAGAAGATGTTTATCGGCAGTATTCACAATTTTTGGCCGATGCTAATCAAGAAAATGTAAGTGCTGTTGAATTAAACAGTCCATATTAATGTAGTTCGGAATACGATTTTAATGCTCTCTATACTTGTAAAACTTGACAAGGATCCAACCTATGAATTGCAATACTGCACATGACCGCAATGTTAGAACAAGTCTACCTGCATATTAAAAAACTGATTACCTTGAATCAATAAGCTTGAAGAACTTGAGCAAAGGATAACCTTTCTATAAATATGTGGCCATAGCTTTGTGGTATAAACCAGAAGACACTGGATTATAGTTTCATTTCAAAATGATGCTATGTAAATCAATCAAGAAAAGAGATTATCAAAATACAGTAAAGAATATGCCATAGACCCAATCACTGGTTACCAAAATACAAAGTTGTTATCGTTTGTAGGTTACAAGACCAACTCACTCATTAGTAAGATGAGATATCAATAAATGAGCAGGAAGTCCGTTACAGGAATAAATACAATGAATTCAGTGTATCCAAAAACAGAAGTGTTAGGAGGTGATAATTTTGATCAACGCTGTCACAAAAAGTCATTCTTTGTTTGCTAGTAACTGTAAGAATAATTAGACTATGACTCAATATTGTGTATACTTCTGTTTATGAAACCAGTTACATGTAATATTTCGAGGGTAACTAGTATCAGTAGTGATCATCGGTCAGATGAACATTAAAACCAGGATGTAATGAGCTCTTATTATCAACATTTCCTGGAGTTTTGCTCACAATTAAGATCTCTTCAGATGTCAGGCTCGAGATATTAGGATATGCACCAAACAAACCAACTTGCAATAAAGCTTTAGCTCAATCTCTGAAATGAGAATTACAGTCGTAACTAACTCTTTATATAAGTTTCTTAGTTCTCTGGTATGGTATTCAGCTAACCGCATCAATCGAAAATTCTTATTGATAAGGTAGAAAATTGTATTTGGACCAAACATTAGTGAATGTTGCATGCCAACATTCGATTGGTGAAACAAAGCTTATAGAAAATATGAAGTCGTTTGTAACTACATTTCAGTACAACTGAAAAACATCTGAGTCATTACTTCCGTTCACTTAAGAACTTAATAATACCTACCAAAAACCTCCTTAGTGAGAAATTACTGGTTTGAAAACAGGATTCTTGGAAGCTTTTGTAATCGACAAACTTAATTTCTAGTAACAAGGTTCTTCCAAAAGTAGTTTTTTATCACTGATGAAAGCACTTAGCATCGATAAACAGATCATCGAAGGATCTCACACTACAGTAATCAACTCAGTTAGCTACATCTTACAGCAGTGATCTAAAATACCAGTGAAAACGAAAATTATATTGCAGCAACAACATCAGGTTTGGAGTAATGAGATATTCAAGTTGTAAAAACATAGAAAACATGAATACCGTTGAGCAGATGTGGTTAGATATGGTTCATTTAGTCTAAGGCTTCGAATCCCAAGTCGTAAATATTTTAACCAGTTTTTACTGGATAAGCTTAGATAAGTTCACTTTGTTTTCTTTCCCAATAAATCAGTTGTTTTTAGTTTATTTGAGAAAAATATAAATTATTTCATTTTTACTTTAGCAAATAAATGAAAATTATCTAAATAATCTTAAAAAAATAAAGCGTCTTGTATTGGTGAAATTTCTTAACGATACAATAGTAGTCCCACGAGAATCAGAAGTAAGTGTTACATGCAGTTTTATTTATGTATAACTAATGCAAATACACTTGGATATGTTTTGAGCTGCTAGGATGTGATATGTCTGATTAGGATTTCGTTTTTGTCATTTTTATCTTCTATACGTGTCTTCTGACTTGAAGGTACTCGTATATCCTTTTTGGTTTTAAATTATTCCAATAAATTTTATCACCAAATTATTTTGATGTAACCTTTTTTTCTGTTACTGGGTTCTGAACATAAGATCACCGATGTATAGCCACCTTCTTTGGCGTTCATAAAAGCCTAAAGAATGCAGGAGTAACAATACTCTGGACAAGATATTTGATGCTTTGGTGATTTTAAAAAGAAATCATTGGAAAGCTATGGACCTATGTTCCATCCTCATATATATTTAATGCTGGGTGATGATTGAATGTAAAATGAAAATCTGAGTCATGGCAGGTCTCGAACCAGTGGCCTTTGGATTACTGGCACGGTGTTCCAATAACTAACTAAGAGACACAGCTGCTGACTATATCTTACTTTCACTTCAGCCATCCAGGGTTTTGATTGACTGCCATAAAAAGTCATGATGTGTAACTGTCCGTTCATAGTATTCACGCTGTCTGCTCATCTAGGACTTCTCATCCAAATCCAAATCGTGCTGAATTATTGGGAAGCAGCGTTATGTATTATCGGTTTGACCATCTGAGATAGCCGTGGTTAGGCAAACTTGGATTATTGATACTGGGTGATGATCGAGAGTGAAATGAAAATCCGGGTTGCAACAAGATTCAGACAAGCTGCATTTGTCAGCTTATTTGGTAAATCACCGAACAGGTAGCCCGAAAGCTGGTGGTTCAAAGCCTGCCACGACTCAAACCTTCATTTCATCTTCAATCACCACCCAGTATCAATAATAGAAGTCTGCCAAATCATGACTATCTCAGATAGACTGATAGTTATACATGTTTATCAACAACCATCAAAGACGATAAATAAACAGGTGACAAGTGTTTAAGCAACGTAGACATACAAGTACATATGATTTGTAGTCACAGACCTAAGATCTGTACCGTGTTACGGGATATATTAGTTACATTTTATGCATTCATCAGCCATATATCACTGGCATTATTCATGACTGTACAAGTGGATAAATCAGACTACCTGATATTTGCATTCATATGTTCCTTCATATTAGATTGGTTTATCTAATATAACAGTATTAATTACTTGGTGAGATTTCGAACATAAATTATTGGTCATAATCATACCTAAAAGTAATTATGCAACTTTTGATATGTTTGATTTTTACAGTCCTATCACCTTGTATTCTTAACTTTTGGAGGTGGTAGTGCAATCCTCTTCACTTACGAGGCAGGAAGTAAATAGGGAGAATTAGCTATATTGAATTTTAGAGTAAAGCGAAGAACAGACGGTGGTTTAGATACTACCGTCTGCAGGAAATCGACACATTCTAACACGTATCTAGACTTCAGGTCATCTCATCAATGTCAGTAAAGTCAGGTTTAGTCAAATGTTTAAGTGATAGAGCTAGAAAACTCACTAGTCAGTGCAAGGAATTAAACACATAAAAGCAGCGTTAATAACTAATAATTATCCTTTATAGTTCATTAAGAAATTCGTACGAACATATATGAAACGAAATAATAACAGTCATACGAGTATGAATAATAACGATAACACTAGTACAAATAAGTCCAAAGCCCCTAATGTGTTACCATATAAGGGACGAACATGAGGAACTTAACATAAGATTTTCAACAAAGCTGCAATTAGGGTGGCATTTAAACCTACAAAGTTACTTTGAGTTAAGCTTTGTCAGCTTAAGGGCCCGATTAATCCAACCTATTAAATTGAATACTATGGCTGTGATGTCAGGTACATACGTCAAGCTAGCTGATCAGGGTCAGTTAGATTAGCGGAACATAGGAATTTAACCAAATATGAAATGACAGAACACAACAGGATCAATAATCTAGAAAAAATTCGGATATTGCAGTACTACTTAAGTTAATACTAATCCAGGTCAAGAGTTGACCGGATAGTTTCACAAATATCGGGCGCGAATGAAAGGTTGACATCAAATGTTATATTTAGACAAATCTCAGGGTGTTTGAAATAAGAAATTTCAATGTTTCTCATGGAAGTCTGATACGAGTTTCTTCAGGGAAAAAATCAAAATCTAAATTATCAACATCATCGTATAAGGTGTATTTTAACTTGTGTAACCATCGCATTATCAATATCAGTTCTGTTTTAATATATAGAGACAAAAATGACATTATTTCTACAACATACAAAACGAACATGTTCTTTACGCATTGACAATTATGACACATATAATCTCTATTGTGGTTATTTGGTTGGTTGTGGCTAGCAGAAGAATGCAAGACGCGCGTTTCGTCTTATTTGGGACTAGTCAGCTGGATGTACCTGCACCCTATTATTTTGTTATAACCGATGCCTGAAATATAACACCCACATACACGCTTACGTTCATTCATCATATGCATCAATGCACCATTGTGTGAATGGTTGGTAATCCTATTTGAAAACAGTTATAATCGAGTCACAATTGGGCGAGGAGATGAACTATACGATTGTTAAACTGTTATATATATATATATATATATATATATATATATATATATATATATATATATATATCTTCATGATTATGTAGATTTTGATTATTTCTTTGAAGAAACTCGGATCGGACTTCCATGCGAACGTTGGAATTTCTTATTTCGAACACGTGCAGGCTTATCCAAATATAGCTTTATACACTGTACTTAAAACCAGTATAATCAGGGGGGGGGGGGAGAGAAAGAGATTGATTACTGAATCTTTGTTTATCGAACACATTTAACAGGAATGACAACACATATACCAGAGAAGTGGAAATTTAAACTACCACTAAAAACGAAGGATCTGAGGTGGTAAGACTAAAATTCCAAAGTCGAAAGTTGTATGATTACATTGATATGGTCATAAGGAATAATTTATACTCGAAACGTCATCAGGTAAATTAATAATAATACTGTGCTATATCAAATAAACAAGTCTAATGTGAAATTACATTTTAAAACAGAGCACGTGTTATGCGCTCATATTTATGTGTTCTTGTTCGTCTATGTTAACTTGACGACTATATACCATTCTGCGTAAAACCAATTCTTAGTCTTATTATAAATATTTATTGGATTTTTTATAAAGATGAACAATGTAATCAATAAATACGGAGATGAACTAAAATTATAATCAAATTTTTTGACTTAAAATGATGATTTGTCATTCGCTGAGAAAGATAATAATACCATACCTGGCGTTTCGGCTTCTAATTAATGGTAAGATAACTTCAGAGTCAATGCAAAGAGAAGGCTTCAGTTGAAATAATTTGTACAATTCAAAAAAAAAGCTCAGATTAATCATTTTAAAGATATTTTGGTCTTTGCACGATTCTATTGTCATGAAAATAATCAGTAGGTGAACTTTGGATGCTTTTTGTCTTTTGAACCATAGGTTTTTAGGAATGTGTTGAGAATTGAGAATACCTATGCATTTCTCTGCATTCTCAATGTTCCTACCTTTAGACTTGTAAATTGATAGATCCAGTTGGAAATTCCGTGTGATGGATATTCAGTTGCATATAGTTAGCACAACTGAAAACTACGTTACAGAGCCTAGTTTCATCCCATAGAAGGCATTCAAGAGTGCAACTTGCTATCTCTGACCAAATTTACTTATTATCACACCCTTTGAAATGCTGACTGAGTAAGCATTGCATTCTCCTCTGGTTCAAATGGTTGACCTCCAAAGAAAGTTTCACTCCCATACTCCCAAGTAAACATTACGACGTAAACATTCTCCTTAAGATAATTTCTGCGGAATGCATATACCTGATCAAGTTCCTTAGAAAAGTTTTCTAACTCCGCGGCATATTTTTTGACAAATATTCATTTGCGGCGTATTTTGCCAAACTTAAGGGAGAAAAAATATAAGCTTTTAGGTGATCTTTTCCACATGAATAACTTTCAAAACTTTCACTACTCTTTTATGTGTAATCTACATCTAAAGGGTGAAACATGGTCTTAACTACCTGTCCAGTTGTAAATGTAATATTTGGATAAGCTTTGTAGAATAACTTCAGTAAACTTCTAGCACTACACGTGTCACTGCACATAGCGAAAATGTCATCAACATAACGAGTATGAAATTTTATCTCCTTGATTGTAGTAGTTGGATTTTTTTCATTTCAGATTTGTAGCAGATATTTCATTAAGAATCGGTTATAAAGAGAGCTACCCATAGTTACACCACCCTTCTGGTGGTAAGACATCATCGAAGCGGAAGCAAAGATTTATGGTGTTCAATCTCAGCAAACGTCTATACATGATTTCGGTCAAAAAGATACGTCTAATGCACTACCTAGCACCAATCATCTTCCAATGGGATGTTCTTAATTAGATAGACTAAATAAAAAGAAAAGCGCTAATTCGGGAAACACATCTAATTGATCAAATCTTTTTATGGATACAAATGTATCAAGATATAGGTAAAAAAACTCTTTCAAGCCGCCCCTGTTTATTTTACGCTTTAAAATGACCCTGACGATTAATAACCTCAGTGCTGCATTTGAAATATACAGTTTCACCTTATCGAGCATGAAGGAGAGATATAGGATTATTATGCATTGTTTGGTCGTTTATTTTGTCTCAGTAGTTCTCTACATTGTACTGTCATTTAGATTAGAAAGTTGACATTCTTCTTTTAGACAAAACAATGGGAAGACATAGTTTGTCTGAATAGCATAGTGTACTTGCGCAACACATTTCTAACAATCTGCTTACACACACGTGATTGTTACAGGTATTATTATTAAAGGTCATAAAGAGATAAGAGGTGAAAGTTTGAAAAGAGGTCGAGTAACAAGGTTAGTCTGAAGGCCAAAACAACAAGAAAAATTAATAGAGCGAAAAATAATAGTGCATCGACCTTGGTTTCAGAGATGAATTCGTCAACGACGACATATTTTTCGGAAAGTTCTTTAAACTTTCTTTTAGCTAAGACAATAACTACTTTGACGATTTGTTACTGATATGTTTTGTAAATCTGTCTAAAGAATATAAAAACACTACGACTGTGACGTGTCCCAATGGTATATTTCCTAACCGAAGAACTTAGATGCCAGCTGTCAAGGTTTATGTGTTTAGCTGATTCAATTTGCTCATAAAGCCACTGTGGAGTATGCTTTGAGGCCTTTATTTGAGCGGATCTATGAATCCTCCCTATACAGGTGATGCCACATGTATATTTAAATTGGTAGATACAAATAGGATGTAACACTACCATTCACCTACTGCAAGGGCTTTGCTGTTTCGATTAACCTCTGTGTTACTGAAAAGTATGTCATTTTAATAGCAACATTAATTTTCTCGCAAAAGGATGGCACCATGAAATTCACCTTCGTTTGGAAGCTTGGTGAAGACGTCTTTCTTCGGGACCAAGTGAACACTTTGTCAAAACTAGTAAACTGTGATGGATAGTTACTTTCTAGTAATGTGTTAGCCAACTTCTTGATTCATCTTTGAAAGTATTGACCGTGGATACTTACTGAAATCTATTGATTCAGCAACTACGTAGCGCTTACTTTTCTTGAACTGGACAAAAGCTATGTTTATTCAAATTTTGTTCTGCGTATGTGGATTTACATCTACATGTTGTCACAATTTGCTACTACTGTTCTTTCGTGGCCAACAGTCATCATCTATGTACTTTAGTTGACGCTATTTGTGAAGTCGTCACTCATCCTTACGCCTAAAACATTGATTGAAAGATACTAATTCGTAAGAAAAAACTATGGTTAAGTAGAGTATAACGAGTTGAAAACTGAAAGCCGTTTTTTCAGGTTTATAAGAGAAGTGAAAGAGTGTAACCGAATCTCCTTTTTTAGTTCAGTCCTTGCGATCGATATTGCAACTTAGCGTAGATGGACTATTTATGTAACATCTTTCTTCATTTCATGCATAAACAGCTCGAAACACAAGCGTGTTTCTATGCCAGAAATTATTGTGATAGCGTATACAAACTCAGCTCTTATTTTATACCTCTCATAATTTGATTTCTATCTACAGTGGTTCGGGTTTTATCAAGATGGGTCGACGTCAAATATAACCAGACTACAAGACAGTCGTTTATACACCGAAGTAAGTTATCGGTTTACTTTTCTACTTTACTGTATTTACTGTCCTGGTTTAGAACAGTCTGAGTAGGGACTGAAGCTCAGAGATTTGAATCACGACTTATTGCTTGAAACACGAATCCATAACAGCTGTAAACACTTCACAGCACATTATTCGTGCTAAGTTTAAAACTCACATTGTGAAACGTTTCTAATAATGATAATAATCACTTTATTTCTGACAATACAGTATGAATTTCTCGATGTGGTATTTCAAAAATTTACTCTTTTTATAATATTTTCAAATCGAATAACCATCACAGTTAAATATTGTTAACAATAACAGTATGATAAAGATGAAAGCACAACTACCATTTTTTTCAGGTTTTCATGTAGTTTGTGAGTACATTCTTGTACGTTGGGGGTTGGTGACTAGAGAAGAACCCGTAAGTTTGGTGCTGGAGGTTGATTCAGCCAGTATGAAAATATGCAGTCTCAACTAACTAGTTCCGTAATAGCTATACGATGTACTGATGTGCACTCAGCAGCTCTTTGTCATCTATCATAATTTCTCGTAATTTTGTTGTTAAGTTGTTTGACTAAAGGTTGAAGACATTTTAAGGATGTGAGAGAGTATATTTCACGACTTATTGACATTCAAATGATTGAAACAAGTGAACAAAGACCAAGTTGATAAAATATATTCGATGCAAAATTTTTGGTGATCCAAAGTTCAAGCAGGCCAGCGTAACGTTGCGTGTCAGAAATGATGAAGAATGCCTATTATATGGCAAATCCTGCAGGGACTTCAATGCTGAATATTTAAGAGAAAACATATGGAGGAACCATATCACGTCTCAGGAAAACATAACATGACTTATTACATTGTTGCTAATCCATTTTTATCTATATCATTAGTCAAGTGGCCGTTTAGTTAACATTTCTCCTATTTGATAAAGTCAGTGTTTCGGAAAATTTATCAAGATTACATAGAACCTAGGAGATATTTCCTTGCCAGAGGAGACGGTTAGGTAGCATATTCATTTGATTTTCTCCCAGTCAAACCTATTCACTTACAAGTCCCATAGTGAGTACTTTACAATTTTGCTGGTTGATTTCCATTGGTTTGTTTGTAAGTTACATTTTCTATTCTAGTTTCTTCACCATACGTATCGCCCACTGAAAGTTTGATTGACTGGATAAGGTTTCAGACACAATTTTATGTCTATAATTACATCACTTCGATTGGTATGACTGCATACATAATACAATTTCACTGTGATAAACAAACTAAAATGCAAACTATACTTTCCGATTTATTCAAGTTTTACTGTCATGTTATTCCATTTCCTGTTCAAAAATACCATGGAATTCTTTCGTCTAGTTTAATTACAAAAACCTTTTTAATGAATAACTTTGAATATTCTTAAAATTACTGCCCTTAAATTCCTTTTATTTTAGGATCGTTTAGGTCTTCAAACACTTGAAAAAAGAGGTGATTTACACTTTATTACAAAAGATGGTGATCATTTACATTTTGATTTAGAGTGGTTTGCGGGAAATATTGTAATTCCATTCCTCAAGTGATTTTTTTAATGATAAACCAATAAACTTGTACTTTTTTCCTGAATAAATTTCAGACTAAATATCTTTTTCAGTGATTGCTGACAGTGATTAACCTGATGAATACTCATTTTGAATTGACTGTATTTAACTTTTTACGTTTCGCTAACTCGTAAAACATTTCATAGAGCTGTGAGGAAATTCAATTTATGAAAATTTGTTACTGAAGAGAAAGTTTTCAAACTAAAGAGAAATAATACATTTTAATGAACGATTACTGAACTGATTTCCTTTATTAGTTTAACTTTCAACAATTTTGTCATGAACAGTTAAAATAATCATAAATTTTAGTTAATGTGGCTAGGATATTTGTCGTTCATTTTACACCAATGCACTCTCTGTCGTACCCAAACATGACCGTGCTGTTCAGAGGTGCTACAGCTTCAAATTCCACGCTAACTTGCCAGTTTGTACAGTGTTTGAGCAAAAACCGTTGTTAGTAAATCAAAAGCATCAAAAATCACAGAGTGAAAGGTTTTCAGGTTTGAAGCAAACAAGAGCGCGAAACGTGTTAATTACCACGTATCATTCGAATTTTGTCGAAACCGCTTAAAATAAGTGGTGTGATATTTAAACTATAGTATCCTTCATGGTTACTTTTCCGGTAAACATGACACAGAAGGTGACTGGAAATATGCTTACGATTTTAGCGGATGAACAACGACCCTTTATTAGGGAAAAAAAACAAAATGTTTGAACAACATCACCCGAACAGTATGGAAGTAAAAGAAGAACGTCGTTAGGGAAGTAGGTGTACCAAGTAGTTTTCCATCTGTATATCATTTCAGAGTGAAAGTGTAGAAACCAGATTACTATGATATATTGGATGAATCAACAACCACATCACTTTATAAAAGAGATAGTAAGCAGAATACTGTGCTCTATAAAAAAAATCCTCTCATTTTGGTCACTGAAATAATTCATTAACTCTATGCGTCTGAACATTTTTCTTCCCATTGGTGAAACGTTCAACAGATATAAAGTCGGTGGTATACTGAATGAATACGTCCACTAAAAGGCGATTATATATAGGATTCTCCACCGACAGGTCCTTAATTTATCCCAAATGAAATTCGCTCTGGTTTAATGTTTGCCAACAGCATTCTGAATAGAACGGGACGAAGCAAAAAGTCCAATCCCACGTCTTCTGTTTAACAATAAATTCCAATAATTCCATGTTAATTTCTTCGTTGCAAACTTCACGCAATGAAACTGTATTCTTCATAGTAAGACGTTTGGAAAACAGTTCATTTTTTATATTCATTTCAAAAGTGATAGATATGCATGATGAACCTATCTGATCAGCTAATACTCACATATTCCTATGCAGTGGGCATTCGCTGATAATAATAGATGATACATATCCTAATTTTATAGCTCATATTGTATGCAAGCTTTCCATGCTCCGGATACACTAACGATGGATTTCGTACAGCTATTTTGAGTGACCATGCTTTTTAATCATACCTGTATACGAAGGAGATGATTACAACAACCACCATACGTATGAATTTATAGACTGTGTCAGACATATAGGGATCAAGAGCCAGGCAGAACCTGCTCCAACCATTGCTACATGTTCAAGCTGCAACGCCTGCGAAAGGTCATGGAGATCTTCTACCATAAAACTATGTTTATTATGAAGTCGGACACTATTTTAGTGACAGTGTGATAAGGAGTGCCTTAGTCATGGACAGAGAAGCAATAATTGAGGTGAAACTAGCATAATGTTCAGAAAAGACTATGCTATGATGAGAACGTCGTGGGTGAATATTGTGCGACTCCAAACGGAATAACTTTTTGTGATTGCGTTGCATCTGAAAAACTGATTACCTTATGTCTGCTTTTTTATGTTTGCCTAAGGACAAAGCAACAAACTATTAATCTCACGGATTTCTAACCGCTATTCTTGTTTATTTGATACAGTGTATTTAATTCTACTGTATAATGAACAGGAGTTGACGTATACAACAATCGACTTCACATGTTCAGACTTACTCAGTCTACAGGGTAAGTGCTCATAGTCTTTCACACTGCTCAAACTACTCAATAAAACGGTGTTGAATGTCAGTTGATGGAATTTAAACATACCATCCACAATCACCAAGCAAATCCCTCATGTATCATGTTGCCGTTTATTTAGCAAAGAACAGATACACATCTATGTATCTGTTGAGTGGATAAAGCCACATGAGTGGACAGGACGTTACCAGACTTATTTATCAAAGTACATCTAAAATTTATCCTCATTCAGCTCCAAAGTTTCTAGTCAACGTGGCTATTTGGACTCCTAACAGTTACAAATCACTCTAAATTTCCTTTCTTCCTACCTCTTGCCGATTGTAAAATTCCATCTGCTCAATATGTTCGTGATTTCAACGTTTTAGATTCCATGAACTTTATCACCCTGTTTCTGCAAGTGATTTCCGATTGCCACACACGATCTCTGTCATTTGTTTCTAGATTCAAAAGATTATGGATCTAATGAGTGGGGCTACCAATCACACTGATACATTCATATCCTTATTGAAGCACTGGTTGACGAGATGATCCTGAAAGACGACTGCTCCTCCAGCTTCTTATTTACTCTCAGGGTCTGACCTGGCATCACTGTATGATGGACAAAGATGTTACATCTTATATCAACATATCCACATGTCAACAAGGCGACCAAACAAAAGACAAAGAAATGGAGATGATGCAAGCAAAATTCATGAAGAGATAGAAGTGAGGAAGTATAAGGGATGAAGCAAATTAAGAAATATGGAATGACGATTAGAATTAAGATAAAGAATGGATGCATTCACATTGGTGTGACTGGTTCTGAGTCACATAATCTACAGTCTTTCAATACAGTTTTCGGGTGTCACGAACATCAAAAGGGAGATCGTCGTTCCCCTAAATTCGCAGACCATCAGTGAGATAATTCCTGAATTGATGGCATGTTACTGCCTGACTGCTCTAGCCTAGCCCTATTTCTGCTAACATGATGCATCACGACAAAGGAATACATGACATGCTTACCGAACATATGCTTCAAATATCTCGATAAATAAGATTCACAACCTTATCTACCGTGTAATCTCTCTTACCCAAGACCATAGTTTAACACAGATTACTAACGTGGTGATTCTAGGACACACCCAAACCAATGACCTAAACTGTTTCAGTCGACTATGGAAATGATTTTGCGTCATCTACCTGAAAAAACCTCAATGTCTGACATTCCTTTTCGCATGCAAAAGTTTACGTGACTTGTTGAAACCTTCTATTCAGTGGCTACATTCTACGCACATTGGATTGCACTTCAACTGAACTTATTGTGGTTCATTTCTAGGCTCATAAACTCTTTGACCATCAATTCTCCAAATTGTTCAAAGTGGTTTTTGTTACATAGTATCGATAGTCTTGAGACTGTAAAGCTTATCGAGAAAAGAATACTTATCTAAATAAGAATGTTATTTGTCTCCTCATCAATGAATTTTGAATATGACTTTCAAACAAATTACCTTGTAAATTTCATGCATCTCTTTTCTTATTTCAGCTCCATTACAGGGAGAATAACCAGTAAAGAAGAATAGTATATATCGTGGGTTCTCATCAGCTGCTTAAAACCCAAAAAATGTCAAAATGTAAACGGTGCGATGAGAATTCACATACTTTTATCAGGTCGGTAAGAATTAGAATGATATGGATCAGCTATCATCGAGTAGATTGTGAGAAGTTTCAGAAAGTTTAGACATTCATTAGATGCATTGGTGAATGAAAATTTTGGAGAGAAATTAGGAAGTGGATCGAATTCAATAATAATTGAACATGGAAAATTGCCATCAAAAATTTCGTTACTGTAAGAAACTGAACAATTCACAGAAGCTTTTGTGATAAACTCCAAAAACGCTGAACTTGGCTACAGCAAAACGTGGGGATAAAGTTAACACTTCACTTTCTTCCCGATGATCGAAGTGATGCCATATTGAAAGTCTGTCAAACAAAGAGTGCAATGTAACAATGAAGAAGTGAGCGAACTGAATTCGCAATGTATTGTATTTGAATGATGGAATCAGTTTGTTGAAGTTCAGCAGGCCTTATTTCGTCATTCTTAATTCACTAGCCAGACAGCAAGATTTGCGATCCCGACAGAACTACTGCTCTTCCTGTGGTTAGTGGTGGTCCTCAGTGGGAGGCCCAATGATTGGGTAATAAGTTCCGTCAGTCACAAGTGTGTCTTCCGCTCGACTGATGAAAAATTGGTGCTGGTATACCTGAACACTGAAAACAAAAATACTGTTCGGAAGAAATATATTAACTTCACACTAAGGACAACCTCCAGCTTTTATCTGATATCCACTTACTCATATCATTGTCTGTTTTGATAATGGAACAATCATACGTTATGCCTTACATTGGCTGTTATATTTCACCTATTCTCATAGATTTATAACTGGAGAGCCTGAAGAAGAAGGCGTTAAAAATAATTGTTTACTCAAATTACTCTTATTCTGAATAATCTATGAGAGTCTTCCAATTGCATAAAAGTAGACAAAACGCATGAGGAAAAAGGGATGAAGGCAGATGGACATTTTGCAATTGTTGAAGAGGATAAATAGCCACGGAGTCTTCGACACTGATTTATCATGTGGAATACAACAGTTCGGTGCATAATCGACTTTAGTCACCTTTGTTAAGTGTATTTATGAATATAGATTCAACCACTAGTTTATATTTTGTTTGAATTAAACATAGGTATACTCGATTTGTACCAACCAATAAGATTCTTTTCTTCTTTGGCTCTGATAACTGTTGATGCATTTATCTAGAATTCTACACTATTGTCTCCCTCTAGACTTACCTTACAGTTGACTTTAACATTCACTCCATCATACTTTGAATGACATTGAAGTGTGACCCCTATAACCCGTAGGGAAGTTAACACAGCATGTTTCACATACTATAATATTTTATCAGATTCGATAACTGGATACTTGATCGAACTTATATTTTGCTTTACTTTGTGAGGTCGTTTGGATTTTTTGAATTTCTAGCGGCTACTTCAGCACCTTCCTTTTCAACATCACTAATTTTTTTTATCATTGTCTTTCTTCTCTACCTGTGTTGGTATTCATATTTTCGCTTGTTACCTTTATTGAAATGTTGTGCATAGTAGCGGGCTAACGACATTTACAGTGAAATGTTCCTCCTTCCTTCATTTTAGTCACTACTTTATATAGGTGCACTGCGAGTCATATTTTCTGTCATATCTGTAATCCCTTGCCCTATCAGTACAAGACCTGAGAATCAGATCATCAATCAGTCGGTCGCATGTGATCTTAATCATGATGACCTGACCACCAACACTTTTTGGGCCTTGACTTTTCAATATAGTTTTCTGATAAAAAACATTATTCACTCAGTACTAGAGCCTGCATGAACGTTGGGTTCTTGCCATATTATCTGGATTGACAGAATGCTTCTTGGACAGGTTTCATATGCTGCTGCTGTGTGGATGGAAACATAATATTTGCAAGCATTCGTTGATCCATTTCTATCACGGTTACATGATCTGGTTCGAAATCCAGTAATTTTTAATAATTTGGTTTCTCATAGATGGTCCTTTAAAATTACCGTCCTTCATCATTTCGTTCTGCATGTCCAACAGTGGTAATTCATGTAGCTCCTTTTTATTGTGAACTTAACTGAATCTGTATGACTGCTTTTGTTTGCATGAAGTCTTTCGGTATGGTTGTTCTTCATTAATACTATAGGACCATAGTCACATATCTGCCAAATTTTAATTGATGAAATCAATCTTGTCTAACCCTATCCTTCTTCGTTTGACATTGGACATTCACTCGCTGTGATTTCACAACCTCATCGATCGGCTTGCTTGTTTTACCTAGTACCCTTCACCTAACCCCAACATTGCTCACATGGTGATCCCACCATGCGCAAGCAATGCTACGATGATACCTATGATCATATCCTCTTCTCCTAACGGTCACATCACACAGCCATGTACCAGGACAGAACAACTTATAGCGTAATTTACCCGTCCTTGAATAAACAGCCGAATATCTTGACAGACTGCGCCACAGATGACGGAAATTGGGAGATTTCAAATGCGTGTAGAGAGTGTTGACTGTGTTACTACTACATAACGTTTAACCAGCCCTACTTAACTTGTGCTCTAGTACCTTCTTAATCAGTACGTTACCAAACGTGTAGTTACTGTAGCGTCACACACTTCTCCAGAATCAATAGCCTAGGGTTCAAAGAGATTCAACATTGATACTGACCTTCATAGTTTAATTGGACTTGCTAAGCTGAAGGCACCCGGTCAAGCATCCTCGCCATTTGGCACGCTGTTGTGTTACGTTACACTGCTCGTAATCGACTCTCTAGGCAGTTAGTTGGAACGTATCGGTATCTTGGCACGACCTCTCAAATATACTGTTCCATCCGACTACGCTATTGTGTTCTTTCTTGGTCTCGTATTCGTGGGTATATAACAAGTTCGAATAATTAGTGATTGGCCTCTGTGTCTGTCAAGTTCGTACCAGGACAATTCTTAAAGTACTGATAATGAAACACAAATCAAAGCAACTGACTTCAGGAATATGTTCGAAGCAGTAATATATTTAATTAGAATAAATGTAATAGTAATGAATTGGGGGAGAAGTTTATTCAACTTATCTGGCTAGTATGGCTGAACCAGAGACTCTGAGTACGTGCGTGCTAACCAGCCCAAAGGGACCGCAAAATGGCGTCCAAGCCTGCTAGGGTGCATGCTCGTTAAAACAAAACTTAAAACACCTTAAGCATCCGGAGGTGAGCTAGAGGTTCATTTAGCTAATTTAATTTAATCTATTTATTTTAGCCCTAGTTGTATTTTGGTGCCAGGAAGGTGCACTACACTGGCCTTCGGTATCTGAGATGAAATTTCGTCTCTAACCAGCCCATTTGGACTGATGTGACTCCCTAAGTTAGTGAAGTGATCAACACACTCCACCACTTCAATTCCTATCCTTAAACTATGAGTAGTTGCAGATCAGTCCTGGAGCAATGTTATACATTTGACAGATGTGAAACGCATAACAAACATACTCAGATTTCAGCTCAACGCGTTCAGAAGACCTTGCATTTTTCACTGTCTTCAACAAGGAAGACAATGTTGTCTGCGTACCTCAAGGAAATCAAGCGCCCTCCAGTGAGTAGGCCAATACCTGTGAATTCAAAGGTACCTACGACTATGTCCATTAGTACATCTGACTAAATTAAAGTGTATCAGTGAAAGCGTGCATTTGTGACAGACCAAAATGTTTGCTGTCAGTTCAGATGACAACTCTGCCTAAGTCCCTGCACGGTTGCGTGAGTTCGAGCAGAGAGCTATAACTGGCGTTATATACTGGCTTAGCACTCTACTCACATTAAGATACTGCCGAGGCACCTCATAATCTCATGTCCCGTTCAGGTCATGAAACATGTTAAGTATTGGCCGTGGGTAAGTATGCCTGTATTCCAGGATCTGTCAAAGGGTGAAATTTGATCGATACACCTTTGTTAAGTTCTGAAACTGACCTGGTTACCTCGGGTTTATTGTTCACGAAATCCGGTTAGGCGTTGGATGAGTATGGACACAATATTAGTTAAATTGATTCCCCTATGAACGTCACAATAAGACTTACCTCCTTTTCTATAGAGTAGAATAATCTAGGAAGTAGACCATTCTGACGGGATTACCTCTGATTTCCATGCAGTACCTAGTACCTTTGTTAATCCAACCATCAATTTTTTACCTCCATTACTGAAAACTTCGGGTGGCAAACTGTCAGTTCCTGCTGCTTTGCATGGTTTTGGGTTTGACACAGCTTTCTCAGCTTCATGAAGAGTCGGAGGACCGATATCTGTATCCCATTTAATTTCAGACTGGTTGTTGGGCAACTGTGGCATTGGGCTGCAAAGTGTTCCGTTCAGCGTTCTATTCACCTGTTCTAAGAGGTTATTTAGTTACAAATCTTGTCTTCAAGGAATTCACTAACCATCGTCTTCTTCTTTCAGGTATCCTAAATAATCTTAAGTAGTTGTCAGGTGTTACTTAGTGCTGAGGTCTTCCCCATCTCTCTTGCTTTACTACCCATCAAAGCTTGTGATCGTTGCAAAGACTATTGGTTAATTTACGCTGCCTTCGTTCTTCATTGTGGTGACAGTCAGCTGGAATCGGTTTTCTTGCATCAATCAAATAGGTTAACATTAAGGAAATCCACTGGCTTCTGCTAACACTTGGAGGCAGGTTACCAAATGTCTTCACAGCCTTTCTACATCACACTGAATACCAATTCATGATTCCTCACGATGAGGATTGGTGTCAAGTTCAGAAAAATGCATACCTGTATCCTCCTGAATATGTAATTCTCGTCCTTATCTTCTAGACTAGAACACACAGGCCTCACTCACATCTGCTTTTTGTGACCGATAGGGTGCAGCCATGCATGAGCCCATACTAGCACATGATCAGATTTCAAAGTGGTACACCATAAAGAGCGGTAATCATCCACCGATACTCTCCAAAGATGGCCTAAAGCAATGTGTACATCTTTGGTTTGAAGTTGGTGGACGCCCTGTAAGACAGGTTCTATGCTTATGCTTAAGGTTGCTGCTAGCCAGAAACAAGTGACTGCCAGAACAAAATGCAATAGAAAATCACCATTTTCAGTTATCTGGCATGCGACTCCATAGACACCTTCAAGTTGACTTATCGACTGTTTCTGCTTCCCTGGTTGAGGGTTAAAGTTACGTGTTTTTATGAATATATCTGAACGTCTTACTTGCTGTAGCAGAATTGACAGCTCATGATAGAACTTATCCTTTGCATCGTCTAAACTGCAATCTGTGGGTGTCTAAGCGGAGATTATGAATAGGCATCGGATACTTTCATGATCCTTGCTAGATTTCATAAATCCACTCCGTCAAACAGCACAAAGATGGCTGTTGACTATTATCCAGTCGAGAAGTGGACATCCAACTTAAGAACTTAAAGATATACCCCCACACCGGTGAGTCCATGAGAGGTAGCCGTTGAATTTATGAATACTTTGGAGGTCCACTAAATTAGCCATGTGAGATCAAGTGAATAACAACATCCGGGTCCTGAATGCGTGTCTCAGAAACGTAGCATACATCTAGGGCTTGATATTTCGGAGTTCTGGTCAGCAGTGGTTGGTGTCCAATTTAGCGTAGACTTAGAATGTTGAAAGTCCCAATATGAAATCGGCGGTAGAAGTTTAGGCTACTGGGAATGAGCTTTCGATGACTCCGGCTGTTGGCGATTGTCACAGAGTGATAGGATGAGGAATTTGTAAGAAGCTTAATTTTGGTATCAAGAGGCGAAAGCAAAGGAAGAGACAAAATTCAGGAGCATAGGCTATGTTTTCTTGGACCTTTTATACCACTGAAAGCGTGCAGGTGGTTGACACTTCGCGGATCCTCACGCCGTAGAAGTCATTTCGGCAGGGTACTCGAAACAGAAGGTTTGTGTGACCCCAGAGCCTATGGGATATATGATTGAGGCCTGTCACATACAGCCTTTTGAAGATTGCAAGTTTGAGGTTTGGTTGTTCTAACACCGGATGGGAATAACCCGAACTATCGGCATCGGTAAACTATCGGAGAGGGAGAAGTATGCTATTTCTGATGTCAGTCTTTTTAACCTCCCTTTCTATAGGGAAGGCAGCATCAACATCTTACTTTTGGTCGTCCACAGGAAACAACTTACTTTTGTAGATGCACGCCCATCCAGCAGTATAACTTTACTCTCGTATACCCAATATAGCGTGGAAATTTACAGTATACCGGTAACTGCTTTTCGCCTTACTACCATCTAAAAGACCTTCCTGGCATCGTACGGCCTCATGGGAACACGTCTTTTTGCAAATATTTCTTGTTGGGTTATTGTGATGTGTAAGCTGGACTACCACGTCACGGTGGCACATAAACTCCGATAATCAAGGCTCATAATAAAACGTTCATCAACAAACTTGCTGATGCCATAGGAAGAAATTTAATCGATCGGTGTGGAGCAGGTTCCAAGTTTGATCAGGTGATGTTAAATGCATATTAGTTACTCATATGGATAGTCTGACGGCGAAGTCTATTATAAAACTATGAGCAGAAGTATCTCACCTAAGCTCCATGTTTCAGAATTCAGAATGATGTTAATTATGTAGTGTGTAAGTAGAGCCATACTAATAGATGCGCAGGGTGTCATAATAGTATTCTGAATTCCTATAAGATCAAGCATTTCGAGCTAATACTACCCTTCATTTATTGAAGGGATTGGTTCATAATGTCAGTTCTGAAATTAGTACATTTACATTTCCTCCTGAAATGTCGATAATTCCTGAAAAAGCACTTTTCAATATGTTGAATATGATTGGTCCCAAGCAATGGTTCTTTGAGCACAGCAGTCGTAACTCGAGGTCGATAATATGGTTCTGAATAACCATCTTACTTTTTTAGATACCTCAAGGAGAACTAATCTGCCGCGTTGTGAACATTCAGAAAACGAAAACTATCATCATACAGCTGCTGATCATCTAAAATCTCTATGCTGATAATCTCATATCTTCAATTTCTTTTTGTTCTGACTTATTTGGTATCAATTTGAGTTCACCAAATAATAAATCTGGCTTTCCGCAACCCAACTCAAAAACACATATTGAAGCGTTCACTATCCTAACCACTCATGAAGCCAGACAACAATCCTTTGTGACCAAAACTGTGGCACCTCTGCGATTTACTTTCCAAGAATCTGTAAACTTGGCTAGTTCTTGTTCCCTCCCAGCAATAAGTATAGCGTTAAGTCTTAAGGTAGGAAGTGCGTTACTGGACTGGATTCCAGTTGACAGTCATCTATGCCTTGTTAGTCTGAATGGTAAAATGTTGATTTAGAGGGATAGTGACACACGCTGTTGTCTTTTCGTTTCCTACTTATTCACTGAATGCGCTTCAAATGAAGTGGAATATGACTTTCACTGAATATTGTCACCTATTAAAAAACCGAACATATATATAATTCCATCCAAGAAGTAGGTAGGATAAGTGAAACAAAAAGCCACTTAGGCTATCAGTAAACTTGGTACTTATATTGACGAGAATAGGTCTAAAGGTCTATACCCTTTAAGGAAGCTTAAATTTACCCGAAGTGAGGAAAGATGGCTAATCTTTCTCGTCTGGCATTAGAGGTAATTCAGGAAAGTTGTTAAGCTTTATTGGTTCGAATAACCGGACAACTTTTTAGTATTTGGAGATCAGATATGATGTTCTCTGAAAATTTTCTTTTGTTAACACTACGTAAAAAGTAACGTGAAAAGACCATTGTTCAAGATTCCGATTTTTACAGACTTCCAGAAAATAACTGGGACTCAGGAATAGCAAACTGGATAAAGTTAGACAGACTTTAGACCTTG